TAAATCTATGACGCTTTTACTGATAAAAAGTAAGTAAAAATGTAAAGAAAATCAAGATTAGCAGGATGGTGTATCAGATGTTACTGGTTGCTCTTAAACTTTTAGCACCAATATTTACCCTGAGTTAGTCTGTTTTGTCATTTGGTGCTTTGTATTTTTAGAAGATATACGATTAAATCTTGTGAGACGCATTGGTGGGGTTAAATCAATGGGTCCGATTCGGTACCAGAGGCATAAGCCTATTGTTCAGGTGACCTTCTTAATTTGGTGTAAAAAACTTGGTTTTTTGTTCTTTACGAAATGCTAGAAAAGATGACTGTGGCTGATTCCGGTGTTCTGCTTAATAGGAAGAGTGCCGTTTGTCAGGTTTAATTTGCGTGAATTTTTGAACAACTGTCACTTCTGCATTTTAGAAATAGATGTGCTACTAGTGCACTATTTGAATAAGCATTTTAAATCCAAAGTTTTGCAACTATTAAAGACCTGTTCAAAGGCAAGAAGTGTTTTCAGGTTTTTCCTGAGGTTGTCGCTAAGGACACACAGAAGGGAACGGATACTGTTAAGTGTAATGAAAATCAGAGTTACTTTTACGCATCATCTCCGGATGAACGTTCGCCAACGCCTCCAATATTAAGTAGTTTTACCAGTAAGTATTTCCTCAAATTTTCTGTCTGAAAGTTTCACTTTTTTGATTAAAAAATGTCGAATAAGGAGTAAAAAAAATTTCTCGTGGATGCTCATATGAAAAGCTATAATTAAAGTGTTCTGAAAAGTACACGTTTTCTTTGTACGCTAGGACAAATTTTTATAATTAGAATTGCTAGTAGAAATTGTAGAGCTTGCGTGGAACGACGTTGCACAACTTGTGGTTTATTTCACATGGATATTTTTATTCACCTAGAAAGTATTCAGAGTACTGATGCTTTAGATGACACAGAAAGTATTGTTATTGGTGTATAATGAATGAAGGCACTTTGCTGTTTGAAATTTTTTAAAATTTATTTGCTAGTTACGTATAAGGTTTCTTTCAAATGTTAGCGAATAAAAGATAAGAGGGTCGAGCAGATTTTGCAGCGGTTACGGTATACTTTTCTATTTGACTGCGCAGGTATTGCAAGTTTTTAAACTGCTGTTTGTGGTTTGCTCTTCTGAGGTTTCAAAGTCGGCTGGAACATTAATCAAAGGAAAATTTTCATGTTTTTTTTGTTGTATCGGTTTAAAAAAATTAACAGTGTAGAAGAAGGTGAAGCTAGTTCTTGCATTCTGGATTTTACAACATCCAGAATGTAAGAACTAGCTTTGCAGATTCTAAGATACAGGCTGTTGTGTCTGTTTGATTGCTGCATTAGTGCTTCTCGAGTGATAATTTAGTGCACTGCGCGTTGATCAAATGGGGTCATTAAAAAGTATTTTGGAGGGGGCAAAAGAGAGTTTATTTTTGACGGTTATGACGAATAATTTATTTCTTGGAATATACGTACCAATTTTAATCTAAAAAGCATCTATTTTAGACTGTAACAAATTGTAACAGGGAATTTTAGAAAAGTATGTCAATAATTTTGGCTTTTATTGCTTTTCAATAAGCTGCTTCTTCTCTTTCGAAGCTACAGATATTTGTAAATTGTTGCACAAGTAGTTTACTTCAAGGAGGAAGAGCAGCGAGTATTTTTTGCACGGATATTGGTTAGGAGTTTTAGCTGCACTAATCATAGGTAGGTTGAAATGTAGAAGCTGTAGTAAGACTTGGTCAGTTTAAAGCCAACTGTTTTCATGTCTTCTTATATGAAGAACCGCTTTATTTCCAGCGGTTACTGCATCTCAAAAGATTTAAGTTTCTAAATATTCCGCTAAAATATGCGAAGTAGTTGTGTTCTCAGCGTCGAGCTATATCATTAGCTATAACCCTATATCATTTTTTGTTCATTTCTTTCAGCAGTTAAGTAGCAATAAAAAAAGGTTAATTTTACTAGTTGTTTTTGCACGGAGATTTTGTAATATCTTCCAAATAATTTTTTGTGTACCAAGGTGAACTGTATGTTCTCGTAAAAAAAGTATGTTTTTATAAATAAACATAAAAAACTGTTTCTCAAATAATGGTACAGACAGGGCAAATAATGATTTTAACTTAAGGATTGCAGAATTGAAGTTTCAGAAAAACTTGGTATGGTATTTAGTAATGTCCATTTATTGTAGGTAAAATTCATTAATAAATTTTTCCAAAGTGGAGAAAATTGTTAAAATTTTTTGTGAGAAATTTTTTTTACAACCTCTTTGAAATGCTATCGGGTTTTATTTGTATTAGATCTAAGGATTTTTTTTCTAGCTCATTTAGTTATCGATGCAGATTCTGCCTATAAAACAGGGACTTCCGATTCCAGCCCGTCATCAGTCTGCTCTAACTTTGGTGGTCAAAGGTAATGAAACTCAAATTATTTGTGTTAACTTTTTTATTCTGTTGGATAAGATTTTTTTTAAAGCACAGTCAATTGCTTTTAATTTCTCTTGTGAAAACTAATCTGACGCAGAATTTTATTCAGCCCAATTATGCGGAAAAATTCAGCTGAATTATCGGAGCTGAATGATACGCTTTCAAAAAATTTTGGTGTTTATCATATGAGTCAGCATAGTCTAGAGAAGGATTGTAGCGAGGACTGGACAAAAAAACCACTACTAGTAATTTGTTTGATAAAATCTGTAGTCTTAGTTTACAGGTTTTTAATTATATACGCTTCTAATAAAAAGTTCTAAGCCACCTCATTTGCGTCTAAAAATTTCATTACAGTTTTTTTGTGATTACAGCAATGGAGTCAAGATGACCTGTTACTGTTCCTTCAGCAATGTGAACTAGACGACGTGGCATCAGTGATGATTGGATACGATGTAACAGGCGCTGATATTGCCAAATGGAATAATGACACTCTCGGTCTGTCATAAGATCTTACTTTTCAGAGTTGAGTTTCCCCCCTACAGAGTCCTGCTAAAGACCATTTTTTAAGAATGGCTCAAAAATGTTAATAGAGCTTTCTGCGGCTTTTCTGATGATCATCTTTAGGAAAATAGGGAAGGAATCAGTGATTTAGTTGGACTTCATAATTCTGCATTATGACTATGATGCACCAAACAAAGCCAAGCGGTGCAGCAGCTTATGCCGTTACCTGTACTCCTTCTAAAGCTTTTCGCTTTTTTTTAATGGCCCGAATCTTAGGAATTTTTTATCCTGAGCCCAAATTTCCTTTTTCCCCTCGTTCACTTCTTGATTTATTATCCACAGGTGGTGAAAGCTTCATAGCAAACCTTTCTCGACGTCTGCTGGGTGGAATATCAGACTTTATTTACATAGCAAATTTATTTCAGCGAAGCTGGGTATAGAAAATGATGAAAGCCGACAGAAGCTATTGGGTCATCTGGACGCACTAAAAAGGCAACAGCGAGAACCCGACACCAGTTCTCTCTTATTAGAAAAGCAATATGATAAAGTAAAATTTTTCGGAGTTGTATTCGTTCTTTATTTGTTCTACTCCCGTTCAGCTATTTCTCAAAAAGTTTTCACTGTTTCATTCAGGCTAAAGGCAGAATACCGCTTTTTAAATTGGTTCGTTCAGCAACGTATGACAAAGTCGTTGCCGTGGAAACCTGTCTGAGCACGAGAGACATCACAGTAGCTGAAGGAAGATTTGGTTGCTTGCAAGTCACGAAAGTAAATGGAGCAAATATTCCGTTGAAGGAGCAAGACTGGTTTGACCTAATTGTTAATGTTCATTATTTCATGCCCGCTGCTTACTTCATTCTACGATGGACACTGCTGAGCACTTATCATCCTAGGCATATAAGTGAATTTCTTTGTTCCAGCTTTCTGGAAATCAACGGTAAGCCAGGCCAGCTCTTCAGATCACCCCTGATGTTTACAAAGCTGATCAGTGACGTTGCTGGTGAGCCTATTCGCCTTGTCGTTCTTCGAAGGAGAATTAACTCAGATGAAGGGGACGAAGATATTGGCACTTCTGCAAAAGAGTGCTATTCGGAAGGAGCATCACATTTACGAGAACAGGTGTCGATTTGATGTGGTGTTCTGAACGTCTAACTACTTGTCGGTTAAATACAGAATTCACTGGTAATTTACAAGTTTTCAGGATTCGTCTTCAGCAAGTAGTGGTGTTTCCTCAAGCGAAGTGTCCTCTGATACTGTATCGTCTCACCACCTTGAGGAAAAGAAACCTGAAATTTTAAGGCTTTGAAGAAGTCCGGTATTCTTGTTTAGTAACAGATTCCCCGTTTTTTGTTTAAATCGTTTGTTGTTTTTTTTCCTCTTGTTGTTTTCTAAAAAAACGTGACTAATGTCTTTACTGATGATTTTCAGAACTGAAAAGACAGGTCTTCTGTAAAAATACTTTCGTCAAGTTTCTGTATTTTAAGTCAAATTATGTTTTGCAATGTTGTAGAGCAACTAACTGATTTGCTTCGTGGCGGTCAGACTTTCATGATTGTATAGACCTTTAATTTAATTTAGTTGTATGCCAAATTCTTAATATCAGAGTATTTTTTATAATTTAAACCCTATCTTTGTTGAAGTCGTTTTGCTTATATTTTGGTTACGAAAGGCCGATAAGGACTTGAGTATTTGCTCACTATATAAATAATTTCCAAACTGATTGTCTACGCACTTGAACAGAAATGAATCTAAATTTTGAAAGCAAGCATTGGGACGGAAATTTCATAATTTGGTGCGGTGTTTTAACACCTCTGCAAGTTGATAGGGCTCTAAGTCGATTAAAATTTACTTCTACTTACCCACGCTCCAGAAGAATTTTGCTATGACCCTCAGCAACTTGGCCATCCTTCCGACTTTAATGCCATCCCGCTTCAGATGTGATACAGAAGCCTTGCATTATTATAAAGCCACCATCTAAACCTAATGGAGAGGAGGCACAATTTGAAGAAAAGTATCGATTTTTCTGACAAGGCCCTATCACAGCAGAAAAATTGGGGGAACTTTTCAAAGAACGTTTTTCGCCCTGTGAATTTTCGTGTAATCATCTTTCTTTGTCCCTAAGTAATGTTTTCGTTTTATAAACCATTTTGACAACAAGTGCCTTTTTCTTTGATGCTTAGCGGCGCTTATACATTAGCCAGTGCTTTCACCTGTACAACTCTTCCTTCTAGGGTACGGGTGTGGAATGTAAAAAACCTTTCAGCGCTATTTAGCCTCTAATTTTATTGCATTCGTAGGCTTCCTCGGAATTTCTGACATAAGAAGCGGAGGCTAAGTAAAGAACTGCAAGTTTTAGATTTCCTGTCTTATAGAAAACTTTTAGAGCCTGGTTATTGCAGCGTCTATCACAGACATCATGTAAGTTGAAAATGAGCTAATTATACAGTAGCTTTATTCCCGTCACAAATACTTTCTTCAAAACGTATTATTTTTAAATGCATAAGTAATGTTCTGACAATTACTTTGGGTTTGGCAGCGAGAAGTGGTCATTACATTTTCTACAGTGCGTTCTGTAAAAGTTTCTGCAACGGTTAAGTAGACTGAGAAAACTTCTGTGCAGCATAACACTCACAGTAAACCGGAAGCGAACTCATCTGTACTCGGCGCGTTCTCAGCAACGATGACAACGACAATTTACCAAATGGTCTTGGCAAAAGTTCTTTCTAGCAGTTCAAATCTCTGTGATAATAATCGTTGTTTAACTTAACTTACAAAAAAACATAATAATTTTTGTGCAGAACTGGTTTATTACAAACAACGGTCAGGTGCAACTAAATTTTAACAAACCGTTACTGCCACTAAATGTTGCAGAAACGAAATACCTTATGATAATCATTTTTCTTCTTTTTAATCATTTGTATTTTTCTATACTCAGCAAACTTGCGATTACAGCTACTCATAACATTATTAAAAACATACTCTAAAATTCCATGTTTAGGTCGCCACAATTGGACTACTTTTCCCAAAATTTCAGCAACAAATATGTACAATAAGATAGAATCATAGAAAGTTTACTCTGGCAATTATGCGGCAACGATACAATAGTCGACCTTAACCGTAAAATATGTGCTGGTGTTTTGGAATTCTGCTTCATATAAGGCACCTTTCAAGTTTTCTAACACTCCTTCTTCTGGCAATTTTGACGATGTTAAACGCAGTTTTGGATATGCCATCCTGCGACACCCATTACTGACAGCATAAATGGCAAATTGCAGCTCTCCGTTCGCAGAAAAATCCCATAGTAGTGACTGGCCCTCCTCAACATTTAGCTTACACACAAATGTCTCTCCAGATAAGATTTCCTAAACATTTAATATGTGATAAAAGGTTTCTTCACAGTCAAAAACAAATACTTCGCAATTATGCATAGTTGTTTTCCAGGCAGCATTTATATCTGCTAAAATGTGGTGTTAAATTCGTTTTCATTACTCGCGCACTCAGTATATACTTTACCTGACGTATAGGCTTTGGTCGGGTCACACCTTTATGTTTGTAGATTTCATGCGAACGATAGTGATCGTCAACAGTAATTTTCCTTCTCTTACTAACTCCTGTTCGGTCTCCAGGAGGTACACTGTTTAAGAAATCACCTAAATTGTCCTTTACATAGTCTTTATTTTATGTGGGTATTGTATGACTGAAATTGCTGGTTACTGCTTCTCTTTCCTCTATTCTTTAATAAACTACAGTAATAAAGAGGGTATCTGCCGCGAACTCAAAACTCCGTAATAACCTCCGTATTCTTGAGGTATAAACCAAGAGGGCAACTGTTTGAGAAGGTCTTTTTTGTGGCTTGGAATGTCTATTAATTTATAGTTACGGTCGTTTAAAAACATTCTAGCAAGCTTCCATAAAACGCTAACAAGTCGAGGTGGATTCACTAAGTAAATCCGTTGGACCATTTCCGGATACCTAAAATACAAGTCAAACTTCGATTTCGAGGCAATTAATTAAAATGAAAGTAAGATTATAATTGCTATTGGGAGTGAAAAATGTGAACCCTGTGCGCAATTGGTAGTTCCTTTTTTACCTAAGGCTTACAAAATATGGCATCTAAATTTTCTTCTCAGCCACAAACTACCGGTTAAAGAAGTTTAAAAAACTCGTCTTTTTCACATTTCATCTCCTTGTCGGAT